TGGCGATCTGCTCCCGAGCCGTCCACTAAAGGCATTGTAATAAACAGCTAAGAAGGCAAATCAATGCAATTATAGACCTTCTCGTCCTATAAGGTCGGTTCACGCACCACGATTTCAATACCCTTTTCAGTTCCGCAACCCCTCCTTTTAACAGCGATACCTTATCAACTTATCATTCTCTTAATAGACCCTCTTAAAGACCGATACGAAACACCGCGATATGACCCCGGCCTCACTCCAAAGATTACGGCCAACCTCCAGTCCAGCTATTGTCCAAAAGTCATGATAACCAGGTCGTCGGGAGCCAGAGTAAAGTCAAAGATATTACATTATAACTGTTATAAGATAACTAATATAATACAAGCTAGTAAGACTCGAGTACGCCTTATCCCCAATTTAGATCATCTAACGCCAAGGCATACTAGAGAAGCTATCAGTTTGTTTAAGGTAACTATTATTAATGATACCATGGTCTTAATAGATAAAGGGAGTTCGAGTTACCTTATACTACTAAACTCTTTATCGTCCCAACTTTCGACGCACTACCATTGCGGAGTTAACTATCGCAAACCCACGGTAATACCCGGCTCTTCATTATCTATACGAGTCTCATTACCAGCTTACCAGCTTACCAGCTTACCAGCGCCGTGGTCGCATACATTTAATGTCAGCCGATTGGATACTACTAAGGCTTACCGAGTCACAGATCAGAAATGACGCAGAGGGCGCGTGCTTACCAGCAGGTACGTAACATATATACAGATATTGAAGATAAAAATTCCCGCCAAGGGCGCGCAGCCTTACCCGACTTGTCAGAACCTTCAAGTCAGACGGGGAGCTATCCAAGGCATGACTACTCCGACTACGAGCGGTCAAGAAGATGGTGGCTTATGTTGTAGCCTCCGAGCGCCGCCAGTTCCTCGCTCGGGAACTGATGTTCGAAGATAGTTAGATGTTGCCCGTCGATGGCCGTTATCTCTACCATCGGAGGGCACCTACCATATCAGGCAATTACCTCAAGAGATACTACTTGAATAGGCTTATAGCTATCGTACAGTTCATGAGGCTTAGCCAGTAATGTTTGTCATACCATAATCCACCATGCGCCCTATGCTCCATCAGCTCGATAGTAAGTAAATGTGATAGGCATGACATCGTTCTCGGTTCAATCAACATGCGATATCGCCTCTTAAGGCGCCAGGGTTGATGGATAGGTACATGCCAGTATGGCAATCTTACGAGGGGGAAATCCGGGGTATATTATATATAACCGTAAATACAGTCAATATGAGCTCTTATCCCGCCCTAACCAGTAGCTTCGCCTGTTCCTGGTGTTGATTTCAACAATGTTTTGGTTATCTCTCGCTGCTCTGGCGAGCCAAGGGGTGCTTGCTTCAACCTCTCGTCTACCAGTCAAACTCGAGACCCGTTCCGATCTCAGTTCAGGCCTTGCGAACGTCCATATATCTTTTAGTAACCTTATTGATGGCGTTATAACGTATTCTTACGGCCGGTGTGACAACACACGGCATACTGAGGCACACCATACTCTCGGCCAGACTACAAACACTAAGGAGTCACGTTTGGTTTGGGTCTTGCCCAACGGTGCTAGATTCGACGGATGTATCTCAGCATGGGACCAGCAAGGACAACTAGTCGGCCGCAGCGAGCCCCAACGACTAAGTAGAAGGAAACTTAGGAGACGCGGCGCCAACAGCATCGAGATGACGAACGCCACTGGTATCGATGCATGGGGCCCGTGGTTCGACGGAGTCGAGCTGCTCAGGAACAAGGAAATCGGTGCCGTTGATGTTGCGAAGGCTAAGTCGAAAGACATAGCTATCATTGGGGCTGGCATGTCGGGATTGATGACGTATCTGGTTCTACACCAAGCTGGCTTTACGAATGTGAAGATTATCGAGGCTAGCCAGCGTCTTGGTGGAAGAGTGCACACAGAATATCTCTCTGGAGGGCCGTTCGATTATTCGTATCAGGAGATGGGCCCTATGCGGTTTCCGGAGACGATAGAGTACTCGAATGAGACCTACAATATTACGGATCATCAAATGGTGAGTTGGCATCAGCTCTCTTATATCTTCCTTTCAAAAACCCCAGCTGCGGTTGGCTAATGAAACATAGGTGTTCCAACTCGCCAGCGAGATGAATCTCCTCAACAACCACGATAAGAACTTCAGCGTTGATTTCATCCCCTGGATCCAGTCAAATCCCAATGGGCTATATTATCATAATGGGATTAAGCTGGATACGGGGCTCCCGCCTACCGTGGCCCAGACTAAGGCAAACACGTCTTTAGCAGTCTCGTATCCAATGAATCCGTCAACGGAGGCGTTGTCCGATAAAATCAGCGCTATTACTTCGAATGAGACTTTTATGATTGAGTTGGCTAGCAATACGTTTAAGGCTCATAAAGACTTTTTGGGTAATTAGTTAATGCTCTTATATAAGTGTTGATAATAATTGTTAACTTACCTGGCACAGTTAATGGTCTTAGTGGGCTTGGTGGTGATACTTGGTAAGTGTTCAAGTTGCTTCTCCCCCTAGAGTCTATACCTCTTGGGTTCATTCCATCGCGCCAACCTCCCCCCATAGCCACCGGAATAAAGAAATAACAAGCTACTAATTACTAAACATGAATAGGTCCGAGTTAGCTTACATGGTAAACTATCTCAACGCGAGTTTAAACGACACCGACGTGCTCGGAGGTGATGCAACCTCATTCTGGAACGAGGTAAGTTTAAATCATTCATGAGATTAGACCCATACTAACTCATCCGCATAGATTTATGATGATGTATATTTCGGAGCCACTACTTGGAAGACTATAGACGGAGGTATGCATCTCCTTTCCTATTCAAAATCAATAGTTTTCTCACGTTAGTTACTAGGTTTAAGTCGACTTCCAGCATCCTTCCACCCACTCGTTGACAACGTAACCACCATGAACCGCAAGATCGAGCGAGCCGAATGGCTAGACGACACGCAAAAGATCAACCTACAATGGAGAGACAACTACACGGACACAGTCTTCCAGAACGCCTCGTACGACTACGCCGTATTCGCAGTCCCCTTCTCCATCGTCAAGAAGATGCGGCTACCCTGTAAGCCCACTCCCCATCATTCCCCTTTTCATACATAATCCTAATCCTAACTAACAACCACCAGATCTCCCCACAACAATCTCCAACGCAATCCAAAACATGCCCTTCACATCCGCCTGCAAAGTCGCGCTAGAATACAAAACGCGCTTCTGGGAGCACTACCCTCAGCCCATTTTCGGCGGCTGCTCCACAACAACAGACATCCCCGGCGTAGGATCGATCTGCTACCCGTCCTACTGCCTGAACTGCACCGGCCCCGCGACGATCCTAGCTTCCTACGTCTCGGGCGACTGGGGCGCGCGCTGGGTTTCGGTCCCCGAGGAAGAACATGTACAGTACATGGTCGATGCGATGGCGGAGATCCACGGCCAGGTCGCGTATGACGAGTATACTGGCAAGTATAATCGTCGTTGCTGGATGCTGGATCCGTATGAAGGGGGTAGTTGGGCGAGTCCGACGGTGGGAATGCATCAGTTGTACTTGCCGGAGTATTTTAAGACGTATAGTAATGTGTGTACTAAGCCACCACTCTCTCCTTTCCCCCTTTCTTTACTCCAATATTCAACCCTTATCATACTAACACACTCTTTACCTACAGATGATATTCGTCGGCGAGCAGACATCATACACGCACGCGTGGATAGCGTCCGCGCTCGAGTCGGGGATCCGCGGCGGCGTGCAGCTGCTTCTCGGTAAGTGCAATTGCTTTTCTTTCCTATTACTTATGTCCCCTCCTCCCCTCTCCTATTTCATTCATGAATCCGCTAATATGAAACCGTATAGAGCTCGGTCTGGTTGATGAGGCTAAGGCGACTGTTGAAAAGTGGATGGCGAGGTGGATTGATGTTGTGAGTAATCCCAATCCCCTTACCCTCGATTATCTTGCCATGGAGTACCTAGACGCTAACAGTGAATGCCACTAGTGAAAACGTGATTTCAGTGCTGTGTACATGGTGGCATTATATGAGTGGTATCTTGGGGAAGAGTTTGGTGTCCTCTCCGAATATATTGTTCTTGGTCGTAGGATCGCTATCAACGTACATACTTACACAAGGAGAAGTTAGTAATAAAATACTTATAACTTAGCTCATGATATCCTCTACAATCACATATCCCCTTATGCATGCTTTTCTTTGTTTGAAGTAAGAATAGTTATGTAAGGCGAGAAGAAAAATATAAGATTCAAAAATGCTCACTATTCCTCCAGGTAATATATCCGTATCGGGCATTGGTATCCCCCGTATACTCCATCCAAAGCCCCTAACCTAGATATCTAGTCCTCCATCATACCCTATGTAACGTCAATACTTTTACATCCATCCGTGATTCATCCTATCGTAATAACCATTATAAAATACAAAACCTTAAGCCAGAGTGAATTCTTGAAATTCCCGTCCGTCCAACGCCTCCCCTTGCATAAACCCGTGGAGATACGTCCCGCCAACAAGATCGTAGGTCACCGCCTGCGGCACTTTTCGAAGAATCAGAGGCACCCTCGAGCCCTGAACTATCCACACTAGGTCCCCCTTTTTGCAAGACGAAGTTCCGCAGCCTAAGCTTCCACGAGCCGTCCTAAACAGGCGCAGATTCAAGGAATGGGTGAAAGAGGTCTCGTACTCGGCAGCTCTTTGCTTGCCAGTCTCGGATGGCTCATAATCGGAAAGCTTCATCCAGATGTCGAAGGCGTTTCCCCATGGTTGCTTGATGGGTACCGTTCTAGACGGATCTGTATCGATGAGGAGGGTCCGCCAAAAGGCGTCTTTATAGTCGGTGGTGGGATACTCCCGTTGAAGCTCGTCGCGCATGTCCAGCCAGTTTTTACAGTCCTTAGTACTATTAACCTCCTTTTTAGTCTCTCCTATTCGAGTAATCGTATCCAGTTCGAACCCTCGTAATACTAGCTTATTTCCGTCCTGGATCTTCTTGAAGCATGGTAGTGTACCGGCGGCATTGTATCTGGTATATCCAGTAATTCTAAGACCAAGATCTTCTCTCACGCTCCAATCGGGTACCCATGTAGGTAGTCCTTCAATCTTTTTGAAATCCTCGCCCTCGGCGTGTGCAAGGACGTGTAAGTCCTTCGAGATTTCAAGAATGTACTTGGCAACATTAGTATATAGCTTCGTGACACTTTCATTGTAATTTGGATACAATTCGGGGTGATCAGGACTTCGACAATTGGCAAGGCCAAGAAACGAATATACTTTATCGTGTTTCTTCTCAGCATCATAGGTGCGGCATCTAACCAGAGTGTGAAGGATAATGTTGTCAGCTCCAATATCAATATCCCTCTTGACCGCATTTAATTTCGTAGGATTTTTGTACGAAAGTAAATGACGATCAATGTCGTCGAAGAGATGTTCTTTGAATGTGTTCGCAGATGTTCGTTTCGATAGAAAATCTGAGACGCGAACCATCTTCTCCCAATCGAAGGTAAAATCGCCGCATAGGATAGTTGTTCCGCGAGCTAAGATGAGCTCCTGGACCACCCACGCTCGAGTGAACCATCGTCTCCCGAATAACAAAGCAAGTGCTTTCCAGTGTTCCGGAGAGTTTGAGCATCCCAGTAAGACATTGTTATATGGATTGTCGAATGCTTGAGGATCGATAGTGAGCATGTCATCATCATTTAGTTGACTCAAACGCTCTATCAACTCTGAAGCTTTTGGTGTAAGCTTATCAGCAGCACCCAGCCACACAATCACACACTCTGCCAAGCTATATATGTCAGCCATGATACTGACTTGCTCATTTCGCTCGCGATCGTTGCCTTGATCAATGCATATCGCATCGACCCAAAGGTCCCGGTCATAGTGGCGGCCATTCTTCTCAAGCTGTGTTAGGCAATTGAAGAGATTTTCTTCCACTAGGAGTCTTGTGTTGTTACAGACTATGATCTTACTCGTTTCGTCCTTTCTCTTATTTGTCTCCTCTTGGGCCTTAAGTCTCCAGGTGTATGAAATAGCATCGTATTTTAGAGTTGTAGCGGTATCCAAGTCGACTGACCGGATGCGACACGTAAGTAACCCATTCACTCGTTCTGGAAGTATCCTGAGCAGTCGAACGGGTTTAGTGACTCTAATAACGGTTGGGTCGGGTTCTCCAATGTTCGCCCTAGGGCTACGGTGCTGAATATGAAGCGGAACAGTTGAATACGAAAACTGTTCTAATGAGGTATTCTCAAATTTGGCGTCGGGACGTGTATGTCTCAGATTTTTGTTTCTGTTAGTAAGCCGTTTCCATCTCTTTCCTACCGTTAAACAGTTACTGAGACACCACATGTCAGTAGTTGGTGAATGCCATTGTTCTCGAGATGACGTGCATTCGGGATGTTTTTGTTGCTTGGAGAAAGATTGACTCGAGGCAAATAAAGCAGTATTCCTTTGGAGGCCACGGTCATGGTGTGACTTCAGCTGCTTATTGTGGTGGCGCAGTGCAAGGCTACACCCGTGTCCTACGGGCGAGCACTTATATATATCTGACTCGTAGTGATATTCAACAAGTACTTACTACATTGAATTTCGGAATCAGGTATTCTTAGCAAACTGCATGATATATTTGTTAGTTAATGCGACTTGGAATTTAGACCGAAGGACCACTTATCTATTTATTCTCCCTTCTCCTGAGACTTAACGGTAGACTCTCACCTTTCTCACCTTTTCTCAACTCAACCTATTGTTAACTAAACTCGCAACTAGCAACATAAACATAAAATCATCATGGCGACGAATAGCACTTCGTTCCAGGTTGTTCCAGGATTCTTCCGCCATTACGAGGAGCCCACCGGGCCACAATTCCGAGCGGTAAGCTAAAGCATCTAATATTTGTAAAGGCTGAGCATGAAGTAATAGTAATATAGATAACGCTACCAAACATGGGCTTGATCGATCGCGCCTATGAGACGGACGCAATTTTCGACCCAGAAGGCAAGAAGACACAATGGGAACGATTCATCCGCTTCCTAGAGCATAGGAACGAGCAAGGACAGGGCCGAGTCCAGTATAAGCTGATTTTCCTTATCAGACACGGTCAAGGCTACCATAATCTTAAGGAGGCCGAAGTAGGGCGACATGCATGGGAGGTAAGGATGCCCCTTTTTTAATCTTTGTAGCTCTCGGCCATGCTAACTTTACACATAGTCGTATTGGTCGCATCTGGACGGCGATGGCCGTACCGTTTGGGCTGACTCTCAGCTGGCAGAAAAGGGGAAGCAGCAAGCACAAGCACTAAATGATTTCTGGCGGAATGCGATTGCGACAGGAATGCCGGCACCACAGAAGTACTATACGAGTCCCCTTGCTCGTTGTCTCGCGACGACCAGCATCACATACTCGGGTCTCGACGTACCAGCCGATCGACCTTTTACACCAATTATCAAGGAGAATCTGCGGGAGCGTTTCGGAAAGCACACCTGTGATCGTCGCAGCACGAGAAGCTGGATTGCGGACAATTACCCCGGTTTCCAAATCGAATCGTCCCTTAGCGAAGCCGATGAATTATGGCAGCCAGACCGTCGGGAGACAGAGGAAGAGATTGCTGACCGAGTGAGAACTCTCCTGCGTGACATCTTCAGCAGAGATGATAAGTCCATCCTCTCATTCACGGCACACTCGGGATTCCTCAGGGCTCTGTATGGTGTTATTGGTCATCCTGATGTTTGGGTATCAGCAGGTGCTACAGTGCCTGTTCTGATTAGAGTATCGTAGGCGGGTATAGATACATTAGACTTGGTGTCGGGGTGAGAATTACGAGTTATGACTTATATGACTTATACAACTCGAACACGGACAGAATAGGGGAGAGCAGGTCCTCGCCTAAGGTGCTTAGGTAATTACATAATTACACGATAATATAGCACTTGCCAAAATAAGAATAACCCTAAATTATATTAAAAGTGATACTGACTAAAAGTAGGAAAGAGCAAAGATGATATAGTGTAGTACTTATTAATAATTGCGGCAGTAGCTCACCCGTAACTGCCATATGGCACATTGTGAATTTCCTGCAGTTATAAGCTCAACTTTATACTTGACCCAATTCATAATCAAATGAAGTCTCTCATAACTACATGTTTGAAAGCTGTAGACTCACCTTATTAAGTTTAGACCGGGAAGCCTTAGGCCCCTAGTTCTCATAATTCAACTTATACTCTTCACATGCGATTGTCCTCTAGAACTGAAAATTTAATTTTTATACCAACAATTTACTTTATTTCATTCTCATCGTCTCTTATCTAGTTCATATATCCGAAATTCCGCACTGTCATAATGTTTGCCCGTCTACACCCAGATGCGATCCCAACCCCCCTAAAGACCGATTCTCCCGCCCCTCTGAAATCTTTCAAACGTCGTCTATTCCTGGACGACGACGACGATGATGTGCGCCCACCTTCTCCCAAGAAACATAGAAAGACACATTATTCCGTTGCCCCGCTTTTCGATAAATACAGGAGGCCAAGGGCGAACGAAGAAGACCAGATTCCAAGCCACGTCCATAACCGACGACAGCGTCTTAGCCCTTCCCCTGACCCTGATCCACCGCTGGTCTCGGAGCTTGGTGGTAAGTTGAATATTCCTGCATTATATTCCCCACTAACTCCCACCCTAGAGCGCTACGCCAACCTCCGCGCAACAGTCCATAGCGCCGCCATAGCTTGCCTCGAAGAAGCCGAAGCAGAACTAGTCGCACAAAGCGAGGCCAATATCCGCGCCAACCGGCAGAAAATGGCCGCTCTCGAGGCCCAAATCAACAAACTCATCTCTCCCCTCCAGGACCTAACAATCGACTACACAGCCACCGGCGAAGACGGCCGCGAGCGCACCGCCGCAGTAGCAATCCGCGACGCGATATCTACCTTCGAGGCCACACTCGAAGCCGCCGCCGCCGATCTCAACGGCCTCTGGGCATCCTAGGCGGAAGCTCAGGCCGAGATCGAGGACCTCGGCGAAGAGATGCTATCACGGAAGGGATCGGACGGCGCCGCAGACGAGATACGTCTGAGCGGGGCTAGCGTAGTAAGCAGAATATCGCCATCCGCCTCAGCCTCCCACGTCGAAGCTCTGGCTAGATTCGGCATGGATCTAGATAGAGCGAGCAAGGACGTCGTGGATGAGATGACGACGTACGAGGAGGTAAGTCCCACGGGTCCGATATCCCGCAAGTCGTAGACGGGCGCGATGTACTGATTCAGCTCTAGAAATTTCTTAAGGAGATTGAGAAGGAGGCCGGGAACATTCTGCATTCGTTCCTGAACCGCTGAAGCTGCTGAGCGGGATATGTTGTTATTACTACTCGCTGCCGCCGATCGAGTGAAGCGTGCTCGGCACGCGCGGTGAGCGTTGACGCTGTGGCGGATGACTCGCTTGAGGGCTCGTATGGCACGTCTTGCTGTTAGAGGGCGCATTGTGACTTTTGGGTGGGATTAATGGACTACGATGGAGCCATGTAGCTGGTTATTATGATGGATGGATGAACTCATTAGAGCTAGCTACCCGTATCGGGACCACGATGTAAGGGAGTTCGTCCGGTATATAGATTGTTGCTCAAAATGCATGCCTACCCGATCGCTCCTCATACCAGTCAAGTCCAGTCAAATCCAACATTCCTCACAGCACAGCTTCTTTCGAAATGGAAATACGCATTTAGATTCGTTATCAACACAACATGCTTTTATCCCAGCTCTTTTTACACCTGACTAGTGTAATCTACCTCTGCCCCCGTCCTATCCCAAGCCAGCTACACCATACGATTCGCTGTGCCAACCCCGCGCTGCGTCCGAAGCGAACGCGAATGATTTAAAGCAAAGCAGCTAAACGAATATGCCATGGGCCGGACCTTATAATGCGATACCCCGTACGACGACAGGAAACTCTAGTTCGCCGCGAAGTAACCGTGCCGAAGAAAAATAAAACACCAAATAGCAAAAGAGAAATCTAGTAAACGCGGAATATGCCGTCGTGCGTCGTGGTCCCGTAGCATAGTGGCTGGCCTGTCCAGCCCAAGCGAAACGCGAGATAGAGTAAGAAAACGAGACGAAAAAGGCGAGGCGCAACGCCGGCTATGCATCCATCCCTCTTCTATGGAAAAAGCCTCCCGATGGTGATGTATATTCCAGCAATGGGATCTACGAGAACCGATCGTGTCGTGTCGTCATGGATCGTGGTACAGCGTTGCCAGCACGGATTTGTGTAATTAAGGTGTCTCGTAGGGAGGATAATAGGAGACTTCAGGGTTCCCCACATCCGCTCCGCTCATCCGTTCGCAGTTATAATTGTCGTTCCTCTCTATTCTCGACCAATAGACATTATGCGGGTAGAAATATTCGTCCGCTGTGAAAGTCTGGGGTCCCGAGGCGTGAGATGCAGATGCATGCGAAGCTGCGTAGCTACATCTGCACGTCGGGGAAATTAGGCGATCTAATGTTCCTCCTGTACGACGACGCCCCATGGGTGGTCTTCGTTTCCGTACATGATATCCTTAAGCCAGCCCTTCAGCTTGAGCGTGTATAGGCCACCTTCGCCCGCCTTGCCCATGGGGATCTGAATGTCTTGCCCGCGGTGATGGATGAGCGAAATAGGGCAGACGAAGAACTGTGATTAAATATTAGCATACGATGCCTCCTTTTCATGCAGTAATTTCGGAAATATTATGAAGAACTCACCGCTGTACCAGCAGCAAAAGATTCGAGCAGCCTTCCTTCCGTGCTAGCCTCCAATACCTCCTTAATGGTATACCTTCTCTCTACAATTTCTATCTCGTCGCCTAATCTCTCACGAGCAAGCTGTAGCACGCTGCGCCTAGTAACACCATCTAAAATCAGTCTGTCATCTAGTGGCGCCGTGATAAGCTGAGTCTTTCCTTCCTTGGTTTTCCACAAGACGAAGAAGTTGCTCGCTCCAGCTTCCGTGCAGTAGCCTTCGCTACCGTACAGCCATAGGATCTGACCGAACCCTCTCGCGCGGGCTTCTTTCGTCGCTAGAAGAGAAGGACCGTAGTTTGCACCAACTTTGGCGTATCCAAACCCGCCAACCCAAGCACGCACCATGTCGTCCGGTGACGTATGGAGCTTCAGACCACCTGCTGGCGAGTCCATGACTGGCATGTAGCTGGAAATGATGTATAGAAGGGCCTCTGACGGAGCCTGCACACCGAGCTGTGACTGGGTTCCGATGAGCGTCGGACGCAGGTAGATGAAACTTCCAGGGCGGTCACGAGGTAGCCATTTGGGACCGTCTACAGCCATCAGCGCCAAGAGCAGCTTTTCTACTTCGGCAGGAGGGAAAGATGGTAGGCTGATGCGCACTGAGGACATGAGAAATCGCTTGGCGTTGCAGTCGGGTCGGAACAGACGCAGCTTGCCGTCGAAACCACGGTACGCCTTGAGACCTTCAAAGCACTCCGTGGCGTAGTGAAGGACGGACGCTGTGGGCATAAGAGATAGGGGTCCGTAAGGTTTTAGCTCCGGTGTTCCCCAGCCGGATTTAGCCGACCATGCTACGGTGACCATGTGGTCTGTGCAAATGGTTGAGTCGTCAAGAGAGTTGACACCCGGAGCAGGAACATCACGAGGCTCCTTGGTAAATGTGTAAGTGATGTTTGAAGCGTTTAGTTCTTGGACGTTTCGTTGAGATACGCCGTTGCCGTGTCCGTTCGACGAGGGAGCGGTTTGGTCATTAGTGCGGTGGTCGATGGCGGAAGCAGTCAGGTTTACGTCTTGTTCGCCATCGTGGACGGTCGACGGAACGACAGCGGAGGGAGCCATGCCTATAAGTTATGTGCTGGTTATAGGTTAGATATGATATGAACTAGAATCAGAGACGTATTATAGGAGGCAACGCTAAGATGTAATGGGTATTGTCCTAGTAGGCCAATATTTTAATGAAGAGAGAGAGAGAGAGAGAGACGACGGGGAGTAGATAAGAGGAAAGTATAAATAATATAGACTAGCTTTTAGACCGCGTCGACCTGCACAACTTACACTACTAGGTTAGAAGGGTCGATGACTCAATAGCCAATGAGAATATTACCTTTTCTGCTTTTTTGCTAAAGGAGAGGATCCTGTGCCTTGTACATTCTGCATCATGTCAAGCCTGTACGTATGTAAGTCTGGTTCAGTGACATGCTGCATGAAAAGGGCGTGTTGTGCCGTGGTCCCTGTCATTGTACTCCTTGGATCCGGACCAAGACTTACCCAGATAGCCCAATTGGATAAAGAAGATGCAAAATTCTGCATTTTCCCCATCGAACTAATTGGAACGACCAGACCGATAGAGCTAAATAGATACTTAGGCCTACAGTAGGTATCCTAGGTATTTCCAGATAGACGAGGTAGGCTTAGTTTCCACCAGCTTGGGACCAATGCAATATGGACGGGCCCATGGACGGCTCCGGGTATCTAATGATCTCCATACCGTAACGTCAGGTGGGCGTACTCACGGGTGACACTACAATGAACAACGAAGCAACACCCACCGACACCCACACAGCTGCCACCCCATTCTAGAAGCAGCCGCCGGAACTAGCAGTATACTTGTTGCGGTGTGGGCCGAATTTGCAAATTCGAAGAGAAGGTTCGGTTGCACACGGAGGCTGAAAATCATGTGGGAAGTGGAGCGCAGAATGACGCCGTTGATTTGTCTGATTTGTCTGATTTGTCGCGAACAAGCGGGTAGAAGCTTGTAGACGGCAAACGAGCTACCAGACGGCTACCAAACGGCTAGAGTAACATTTCCCATATCGAAATGGCGGCGAACAAGCTTGAGATGGATGGATCAACTTCCGTTCCTCGGACACTATAAACTATTCGTACGAAATTCATAAAAACGACTCGTGAGTCAAGACGACAAGGGGAAAATAAAGGATCCGAAATCGCAACGAAAGGTAAGTGGCATTTTATACGGGAAGATCTCCACTAAATAAATACCATGGACAAGCATCTCAACCCCGGGCTGGTTAGTGGTATTGAAGCCGAAGCCAATTGTTGCATATCAAAAACTAAACGGCAATAAAAAGTGAAGATTGAAAGACGGAGTTGAAGGTTTTAGCGTGGAATTGGGCCGCTCTTCGGCCAGCGGAATAGTCGAACAAAAAGCTTAGCGGCTTCGGGAAAGCCGCGAGTTGCCGCCCATTGCCTTAACTGACCGCCACCTATGTACAGCGGTCTTACATAGTGGGGGCCCTTGGCATATTCATAAATTACTATCTTATCATTGGACCGGTGGGATAATTTCGTCTTATTGCGTACATAGAATATTTAGTATACGTCAACTATGCCGAGTTACCTCCCATAGTAACTGGCAATAATCCCATATCTCTGACATACATATGCGCATACACATATGTACGCACACATTAATGACCACCGAGATAATCGACGTGTTTATCCAATGAGTAATTATGAAGTGGCACCTAAGCCATAAATCCCTATCTGGACGAGCACATGACTGAGGCTTTACACTAACCAGGCTTCTCAACTTTGAACAGTGCATACCTTACGTATGTAGTCTCTCTAGGTACATAGCGCTGTCATGCTCTAGACCGAGCTCTCCACAACATCTCATGATCCATCGTCATCAAGCAGCTCCGTCGTGTTACTTTATCTCGGCCCTTCGGGCTTGACAAACATTCCCGAGTCCAAAGACAATACTCCACATAGTTATTAGAGATGACTCCCCGAGGTTTATGGTCGTCGAAGTCGGTAACTAGAAATAACTACGAGATAGCTAAGAGAAGAAGCCGGCCTTTAAATAGCCGAGTCTACGGCGGGTCCGAAGAGAACCTCTGGCTAGCACTCCCGGCTTCTGCCGACGTCTGCCGGTCACGGGGTCAACGGAGCCTAGATGCTTCTTTAAAAAATCGTTGCGGATTTTATTATTGGAATTAATTTTTTTCCCCTCCACTCACTAATCGTTCCAATAATACCCGACTCTTTCAAATCTCGTAATTCTATATTGGTTACCATAAATATTGACGTGCGGCGCGAGCAACGTCAACCAGCATTGTGTTTCCTCTCTCGCATGGCCCGGCCCTACGGAGATTTTGAGGATCCGGGCGTCGGTGTCGTACACAGTCAAGTCTAAATATAACGGTCCAACCCTCTTAAGGATAATTAGATTAGACCTAAGTATTGGTCAGGACCGCATTAAAGATGTTTATAAGTTGTTCACTTATATAAGCAGCCATATTATCAAAGAAGCTTTATTATAAACTGAGTTATTATAAACAAAGTCGAGGTAAAAATAAGGGTCCACACCATAGTCATGGCAAGTAACATTTGTGTGCCGTCAAATAATCGCGTATTCCCCGCAGCATAACTGAAATGGTCGTTATGATCCTAGGGTAAATACGGAGATTATTACCTGTATACTACGGTACCAACGAGGAACCCAATCACGATTCCTACCCACTCCGTAAAAGGAAGCTGTTCGCAAAGCAAGCTGACGTCGTCTTGGCTTTATTGGATAACGCCTATCCATACATATGTACCTTTTGAAGGACATCTATACTAATTGGAATCCAAGGCTCATAGTTAGAGTAGTCTAGACTTAATCTTATACGGCAATAAACATTGATATTCGACGATAGTTAAGTTCCCATTCGAACTGTAGCATGCTCAAGTATTACGCATGGTTATCATAGACTGTTACTAATAAGTCTAATAGTGAATCTAATAAACATACGTCTCCTAGTTTGGCTAGAATGCTTTGCGCACCAAGAATATGTCTTTAGCTTCAAGCTATCTTATATATTTACGTCTAGGTTGAATAATGTAGGAGGTAAACATATACATATATCACAAGTTCCAAGGCCTCCCACAAATAGACCTTCCCCGCAGCCCGCAGAGCCGCACCGAAGGCAATATTGCCGAAATGGGGATCCCAGCAGTCCATCGAACGCATTCAGGCAGTTCCGGGTTCGCGGGATAAGGGGCACTTGGCCCCACGCGACTCAACTACAGCACTCGTCATCTATCGTGATAAAATTGATAGAATAGATATTTTAATACACCAAGTAGATTCAAGGAATAGCAATTGTGCGATACACAAGCCCGCCGTGTCTCGATCAAGACGCCCTTATTCAACACCAAAATAGAAACTGTAATTTATAACCCTATCTGAGATCTCAAGCAAGCCTACTTAATCCAACGCCTTCAGCTCATAGACCAAGTCAATAACAATGCCAACCCGCTACCCCAGCCGCGACGTCGACTCGTCACCTTTGGGCGCACCCCTCTCATTCCCCTTCTCCACCACCATCGCCCCCAACCGCTTCATGAAAGTCGCCATGACTGAGCGCATGGCGACCTGGGACCCAGACGACATGAGCGCGAGCGGCATACCCACTACCCAATTATGCAACCTCTACGGGCACTGGGGCGACGGCGGCTGGGGCACCATCGTGACGGGCAATATCATCGTCGACACGACGCACCTCGAAGCGCCCGGGAACATGATCATAACCCCCTCTGATCCTTTCTCTGGCCCACGCTTCGAAGCATACCAGAAACTCGCCAAGGCCGGCAGACGCGGCGGCGCCGTGTTCCTAGGCCAGCTAAACCATCCCGGACGGCAAACCGCGCAGGAGCACCAACCTAACCCCGTCTCCGCATCGGACGTCCAACTAACAAAAGGATACGGCGCCATGTTCCGCTACGGCAAACCGCACGCAGCATCAGCAGACGAGATCCACGCCATAAAAGCCTCCTTCATCCACGCAGCCGTATACCTCGAACGTGCCGGATTCTCCGGGATCCAACTCCACGCCGCGCACGGGTACCTATTCGCGCAATTCCTGTCGCCAACGACGAACCTCCGCACCGACACCTACGGCGGCACGCTCGAGAACCGCGCGCGTCTAATCACCGAGATTGCATCCGGAATCCGCGATGCCACAAGCCCCGGCTTCGTTCTCGCGATCAAGATCAACAGCGTCGAGTTCCAAGACAGCGGGTTCGCGCCGCTGGAAGCAGCACATCTAGTGCAGCTCCTGGAAGCGCACCGCTTCGACCTAGTGGAGCTCAGCGGGGGCACGTACGAGGCGCCGGCGTGGCACCACAAGAAGGAGAGCACCAGGCGGCGCGAGGCCTTCTTCATCGAGTTTGCGGACCTCATTGTGCCGCATGTGTCTCTTGCGCGGTGCTTTATAACAGGTGGGATACGGACGGTCGGGGCGATGGTAGATGCTTTGGCGAGCGGGTTGGATGGAGTTGGGCTGGGACGCCCGAGCACGACGGAGCCGAGGCTGCCGTTGGATGTGCTAGTGCATAGGTGTAAGGGGTGTATTAAGCCGCTGGTGGGCGATACAAATGTCGTTGGCGAGCAGAACTCCTGGGCGCACGGTGCTTCGCTGGCTGGTGCTCATATGCGCCAGATAAGCCTCAACCAAGATCCGGTCGACCCGTCCGACCGTGCCGCGGCAGATGCCTTCCTCGAGGGCTTTCGGAAGTGGGTTGCGGCGCTGCCGACGATATCGAAGAGAGAGGTGCTTGACCATGTTAGGATTGAAGGGGTGGCGACGAGACCTTATGGAGCTATAGAACCACTAATAGCTTGAGCTCAGGGGGGTATTGGTAATACCTAATTAGACCCTTTTTCTTAGAGATTATTGTTCGAAACTGGTGTTACCCTAGAATTACTAAATAACTGTATTGGTACATTACCAATGTTAACTTTGCCGCATATTTAGTGGTCGTCCTATATGGTAATATAACTACATAGACTTCTTGCGCGACTAGCATTCATTACATAGTCCAAGAAGACTATTTTACGCGTACGAGCTTGTACTAGCCATATTTCGTTAATTTAAGATGCCTGCTCATATTAAGTACATATGGTCGGCGATCTCACCGGTTCCTTGCAGTGTTCATCTTGCACTATGGCAAATATTTGTAGTCGTCAGTCGTTATAGCCGCAAAAGCCTATAGCTAGAACGGTCTTGCTTCAAAGGGGCACTGTCGATGATCGGGATTCTCTAATAGAGCACCTCAACACTCAACTACCACAGGTTGGTCTTTCAACGCAAACACGAATATCCTGTTGACTCCAAGTGTTTCGAGCGGCCTGTAACTTCTTCCATTGGAGCCATGCTTGTTATGGACTGTCCCGAATCGTATATGTTTCTACTGGCTAAGCCTTAGTATCGGTCAATATTGAGCCTTATACCCAATCAAAGCGTGATTATTGAGAGGCAGATAAACGCCCTCCTTAGCCTTAGAGGGCCCAATAATAAAGTGTCCAGTTATAGTGACGATCCGTGTTCTTATGTATAGCGGGGCTGCTTGTTCTACTATAATTGTAGATTAGTCGGGGCTCGACTCGGACCTCCCCTTAAGTGAGCAGCGGAATTCTTGAATAGGCTTTGCCAAATATAGGCTTCGCTAAGCAAAAGTTCTATGTCTTTCTCGGTCCAGTCCCGAGTGGGCAATGCCTGTAGGAACATCATTATTTCCTGGAAATCCATTTTGACTAGTTTGGACGACCATTTCACTAGGAATGCCGCACACACGTATAAATGAAATTCCGAGAAGCCTTGTTCTTCGGCCTGAATATAGTTAGTAGGTAGCTTGCTCAATTAAGGCACGAGGAAATATACCAGATATGTATCCCACATCCGAATAGTGTTCCGTACGCTGATCTCCCTCATGAGGAGACAATTCATCCAGCGGAAACTAAATTGAATAAACTCGACGTTCTCATTTTCAAGGTGCTTTGCGAGTCCTTCATCGATCCTAGCGGTAAGATCCCGAAGCGCAGCAACTTGTCGTTGAATGCCAGGCTGGGCGACGATATAATGGTCCTGGATTCCGTCGAGTAATTTCGTTAGACACCAAAAAGAGTCGGCTTCCACCGCATCGAGCACTGCTTTGGGCAATTGCCCCGGGTCCATGCCGCTTTCGATATTACAATCCGTAATGTAAGTGCCTAGAAAAACCTGCCAGAAAGGAGTTACCAGGTCGTTAATACCCTGTACGTAGCCGCTTGCGGGATGTCGAATTGCCCAGAGGTATAGTATCCGTTCTAGCGATCGCTGTGTCGCCTCGTAACTGTAGAGTTCGATGTGGGGGTTCGTCCTGGGAACATCAATACTAATCTGATGCCATATTGCTTCATCAAGACCTCTAGACCGACCACTGGTAGCAGGATTTGTGCCACCTCGTTCGAAAGCTTGACGTACTCCGTCAAGGTATTCTTTCCGCTTCCGTTCCAGTGTCGCAACGCGCCTTTCGCTGCTAGTTGGCAAATAGCTCAGCAAGAGTTGCCATGTCATAGCCCGGACTTCTTCAGGAACACCACCCCATGCTAAAGCTCTAAGATCCGTTAATGGTATAGTACTAGCCTGAAGAATCTTTTTGAACTTGTTGATCTTTGTTATACGAGAATTAATTGCATCGGTTTCCTTTGGTGTCGCATTGGCTGGGGCTGTGGGGTGATCGATAAGATGTAGAGCATTGGCCGGGTCTAAATAATATTAGCTACCGGAACAATATTTAAGTACCGAGTGGAGGCTACCTTTTAGAATATCTTTATATTGTGGTCTGAGAATCTTCCCTTCGCTTTTCTTGGGCATTGGATAAGTGGGTGATGGTCGTTCTATGGCTATGTCGGCACTATTTGAATATCGTCTTTGCGGAAAGCTAAGTGCCGCGTCTAGAGGTGTTGATTGGATGCGCGAAGAGCTACTAGTCTGAGCTGCTGCGGCTCGTCGACTCCGTCGCTGCATGTTGGACAAACTTGGGAGGCCAAAGTCATCCCCATCATCATCTTCATATCCAAGCATATCTTCTCCGTTTGGTACTTCAGGGTCTCCAACATCCCAATCTTGATTCGTATTCGACAAGAAGCTAAAATAAGACTTCAGTGGGGGCGATGATAGGCCAGACGAGTGCTTCGGCGGCGGCGAGCTAACATCGCTCGTTCGAGTTCTCTGTGGCGAAGAAGATGGAGGAGATCTCGGTCGGGATGAGGAGCCAGAGAGATTCCTAACGTGGCGCGCTAGGTTAGCGAAATATCACACAAAGAGAGACCTCAAGGACGTACAAATTATCGAATTTAAGCATGTCCGCATGGGAGTAAGAAGCTCCTACTACTATATTAGGATCCCGACCCGTCTTCTTTGCAGCGCCTTCTCTCTGGACACGCCAAAACGGCGAGGTCGACCTAATTCGAGCTTAGCAAACAAACCCTGGGGCGACTTTCGTCAACAAAAAGCGACATGTAACCTACTCTGACCTGTCTGTCAAGTAGAGAGACACAAGTCAGTAAATTTGTCTCTTTCAAGTTAATACAGGCGCTATATGAGCGCGTTGAGACACTGTTAAATAATAAGACGATAATACTCACCGACTTGAATCATTTCCTACGTCATAGTCAATTAGAAAACAATGTTCCTCAGATGTTGACCTCGAAGAGAGCTTACCTGTTGGGACGGCGGCTTCTTGCCGCTTCCCGATGATGAAAACATAGCAACGGAATTCGTTCTAGAATAAATCACAGCCGCATTGTTGTTACGAGGGTGTGTAATTCACCCGGTTTGGATTTTGAGAAAGGCTCAGGTAGTAAAACAATTGAAAGGCTGAGAGTATCATAGGAACTAACATCATAAAAGGCGAGTATACCTAAGGTACGTTCGAACTGTAGAGCTAACCTGGCATTGAATGCAGCGCTACCTATAATGCCCCTCGATAATGCTTGACTGGGAAGCCACAGCTCTAGCCTCGGCAGTTACTACGAATGATTTAGTGTAGGTACTACATACATATATTATGTACATGCCTAATTCCTCGTAAACCATTTTTAAATATCTAACGGTTAACATGCTCGCAAGATGACAGGGAGTAATATATTGACTACCAATTTAATATGTTGATTGTTCATATGTAGAGTACAAAATGTCAGATTTTGCTGTAGAGCGCATGAAAGAGTCGAAAGTAATTAAAGTATCCGGTACCTACAAACTTAAAATGGGTGTGGCTTGAATAATAGTGAATCCGTGCCCCACATGATTTACAGCTAAGTAAATGTACCTTACAAAGTCTACATCGACGGCGAACACATTCAAATAGGGCCTGTACCTAGCGGATTAGCGGATACGTACCTAGGTACCTACATATGTAACTAACCTAAAAATGGAGTTTGCCTGCCGCCTACTTCGCGTCTCCTATTGGCTCAAGACTTTCTCACAGCGTACATCCATTCTAACTAGGAGGTTGCAATTCTTTCCCATCGACACCTCCTCAACCATTCTTCCAGTTGTCCTTCCTTAACACTTTTTTCTTTCTAAATTTAACTAATCTCATAGCTTCTTTCGTACTTTTCCCTTGAGACGGACTGTATGGCCGGCCGATTGAGCTAGATACACAACCCCAATCTTCCTGGTTCAATCTTTTAGGTCGAATCCAAGTCGATTGCCGCCTCGCGACTTTGGAGTTTTTGCGATCGCGTCTATCAACTCGAGTCAACAACGCCTTCCAACATGGCGGAGACGGAGAACTTTGAGGATGACCTCTTTGCTGATCTGTATGGTTAACCTGCGCCCCCGTGCTTTGTGATGTTACATCTAGCATTTTCCTATCAACTAGTATGTACTTGTTACAGATTTACTGATCCTTCGTAGATACGACGACAACGATGCTTCCGCCGCGCCGCCGCCGCCAGCAGCAGCGGCAGTAGCAGCTCCGGCAGTACAAGCCCCTACTGCTCATGTCCCCACTCCTACTCCCCAGAACGTTCAACAATCCGTAGAGGAACCCAACCATCACGAGATCGATCGGGCACATAGCGAGATGGCCTACGCAGCTGAGGAGAACGGCTATGGTGAAGAATATCAAGATGAGAACTACGAAGATGACGATGATGTGGATTTCAACTTAGGCAATGGTCCGAGTGGTGCCGTCACTATTGCGCAACCTCAACAAGATGATTCGGCTTCTGCATACCATGCTGCTAGAGGTGCTAGTGCTAAGGAGGACGGGTAAGTAGATTTGTTTAGATTTGTTTGTTTCTATTAGTTGCGTGGCTCATTTAGAGTCTTGTTACGTCTCGCCAATGCCTGAAAGCCAGATCAGACAATGTTTCGAGCATATTATGATGCTCGGAACGTTTGACTTGGGAAATGATTCCCCATTAGACATTTGACAATCAAAAGGACATGCGCTTGAGTATCCTAGGGCCTTTTAGCCGGGAGGATATTGGTGGGCAAGAGAACTGGTTTCTATCTCGCTAGCTGTCTCCGAAGGGAAAATCTAGTAATGGACTTGCCAAGTCGGTCAATATTCTCAGATACATAGCCGGAGGGAAGCACACCAGTCGCCCGGATCTCAAGAGGTGCATCGCGGGAAAGAAGTAGTGGGTGAAGACTAAGGAGGAATCCTGAGGAGGAATCACTCTACCTTTTTTTGAGAAAAGCCAGCGATAAAAGTTCGACCATAGTCAGTACAAAACACTTACTGCCTTCCGTAGCCACTCGTCAGAAATAGGCTCATAAAGCTCAAAAGGGACTATTACTCTGGAAGGCTGTAACAAGAAATTTGGCAGCGAATAGCGCTCGAAGTTATGTCCTAGCTTGACGATAGCAAAGAGACGAAAACAAAAATATTCGACATTTCAGACATCACCTGCCTTGTTCTATTTCTGTCGAGCGGTGCTATTTAGGACTTGCTTCTCAGATTGTCAGAGATTACACACCGCTGGCCCATGCATCATTCCTTCATCTGAACTCCTCAGACTTCGCGTACACCACATCAGTCACTATGGACGCTTCTAAGGCTAAAGAGGAGGATTACATCCCGTTTAATTCTGATAACGAAGGATCTGAAGCCAGTGGCCAGACTTTAGACAGAGATGCACCTTTCATTCAAATTTCCAATCAGGCAGCCAAACATATTAACCAAAAGAATCCAAGGCTAAAGGATCGGTTATCCAGGATTATGGCGAGCCGCATAAGAGCTCAGTATGTTTGCCAAGCGGCAATCGTGTTCGCGCAAAGCTTTGCATATACTGATTTGTCTTCGGCATTCGGCAAATGCGCTTTCATAATTCGTAATTATTCCTGGTGTAATCGATACTAACTATCCTGTTTGTGTAGGAAGATGTTTATCGGTGGTCTCAACTGGGAAACAACTGATCGTAAGTAACAGGTACATATGTGGCTTTGTTCGACTTACCATGCTAATATTCACCATTTAGAGTCGCTACGCGATTATTTCTCCCAGTTCGGCGAGGTGACAGAATGTACAGTGATGAGAGATGGTGCCACAGGCCGATCGCGAGGATTCGGATTCCTCACTTTCAAAGATCCTAAGACGGTGAACATTGTTATGGTCAAGGAGCACTTCTTAGACGGAAAGATTGTAAGTTCAATAAAATCCCCCATAAAGGCTATTTCCAATGTTTGAGTACTAATTACAAGCCCAGATCGATCCGAAGCGAGCTATCCCACGAGATGAACAAGAGAAAACCAGCAAGATCTTTGTCGGTGGTGTCAGCCAGGAGACGACCGAGCCGGAATTCAAAGATTATTTTGCCCAGTTTGGCCGGGTTGTTGACGCTACCCTTATGATGGACAAAGATACCGGTCGCCCGAGAGGGTTTGGATTCGTCACGTTTGAGAGTGAAGCTGGTGTTGACGCTTGCCTCAGCACTCATCTAGAAATCCACGGTAAGCCCATCGAGGTCAAGAAGGCACAGCCACGAGGCAACATGCGCGAGGAAGAGGAAGCCTCGAGACGCGGCAAATTCAGGAAAGGCGGCATGGAAGAACAGGGTAGTCCCCAGGCCCAGATGGCCAGCCAGATGGGCCAAGGAGGCATGACCCCCCAAGTCATGGCCCAATATATGCAGCGAATGCAACAGTACATTATGATGCAACAGCAAATGGTCATGAACCGAGGCATGGGCATGGGAGCCGTAAACCCTGCCATGATGCAAATGATGCAGATGCAACAGATGCAACACCTCCAGCAGCAGATGGCCCAAGGTGGCGGCCAAACCGGCCAAAACAACCCGATGGCAGGAATGCCCAATATGAACCCGGCTCTAATGCAGCAGATGCAGCAACAGATGCAACAACAGATGATGGGCAACGGAGGTGCTGGTCAGGGTCAGGGTCAAGGTGACGGAAGCCCGCAAGGATTCAACGACTTCAACAATCAGCAACAGATGTTTGCCCCGCGTGGCGGTGGAGGTCGACGTGGAGGCCGAGGGGGATATAATCAAGGCTATAGTAACAACAACAATGTGGGCGGCGCGGATCCGACTTCGTGGGAGGGTATGTACGACGATGTGCCTCAGCCCAACTTCAACCAAGGAGGTCGTGGGGGCTTCCACCGGAATAGGGGTGCTCATCAACAGAGTCCGACTCCGGTCGATCCTAACCATGCTCCGCCGGCTGACGCACCCAAGGGTCCGAAGAATGCTGGCAAGCCGGGTGCAAACTACCGCGGCGGAGGACGAGGTGGCGGTGGCAGCCGGGGCTTCCATCCTTATGGCCGTTAGCGACGCTAGGAAAGGATTAGGACGTTCCACAGCCTACTTACTCGTCACGGTGGTACTTAGTTAGGAACGAGGAAAATTCCAGGACAAGCTTTCACGAGCTCACGAGTGGATGAAATCTGATGAAAAATCCCCCACATTGGAAACGATGGATAATTGCCGCCACACATTCTTGCAAGCAGCCTTTTTTTCTTCATTGCTTGCGAATATTGCAAATGACTTTTAACTCATACTCGGATCGGTCATTTCGCCTGTACTCATTACATAACACATTTTATTACGGTATCGCAATCGGTGGCAGCTACTCGAGGATATAATGTTGGCCGCCTTGGGCTTTTGCAGATAGAGAATAGGGGGAGATCCGTTCGATGTCGAGCAACGGCACGGCGCAACTTAGGGGCCTCCGCCTTGGCTTATTGGCTTCGCGACTTTTTTTTTAACTTGTGCCATCGTCCTATGGCGGATGGACAAGCCAACTGTATGTAAAGGGGCTTCGTGACCTCTAATCAATAGAAGATGCGATGTTCATGGCACATGTAACTTGCTTTGCTACATAGATGTGAAATGCAAGATATTATTATCAATTATGAAAAGACATGGTAAACACTATATATATAGTAAAGGGGAGGTGATCTAAGTCCTAGTAATTGCGTCTTCAAGCTTAGACCTATGGAGCTATAGCCATATTTGGTGAATATGATTTCGATATGGCTCATCTAAATCGAGTAGCCAACACACCGAGCTGATAGTTACTTGGTATTACTTTGCTCCTTACCGGCTATTGACTGTTGCCTATACAAGGTAGCTGAGTGGTTATTCTTTACCTAGCTTATAAGATTTGGATCTACGCGCTGGCTATATAGATATCCTCTAATATCACAGAAATTGGGAATCTTTTACCAGCTGACACGCTCCAAACTGATGCTGGATACTAAAACGCCCAACCATAAGCAAAATACGTATTATACTCGGAGCATAGTACCACCTCTATACTTACGTCGACATGCCAGCACCGCTAGACCGATTCGCACCATTCAGCAAACTCCCATAAGACATGTAGCGTGCTATCTGGGACGCATGTCTTAACAGTTTTCCACCAAGGCTATTCCACGCCAGGGTGTCGAGAACAATGGATTCGTGTTGTACTAGCGCAAACCCACGACCCCCGGTCATCAGTGTCTGTCATGGGTCATTCAGCGCAGCCGTAGACTACTACGTCTCGCGCGGATATCATAATAACCGCGGCTCACGGGCTCTAGTCGACGCAGCGTGGTTCCGTCCCAAGAAGGACATTTTATACTTCGATGCTGATCAGAGGCTCAATGTCCTCTGGCCTGGCAGATTAAAGGAGTTAGATGCAGATATAGGGTATACGAATCAGGGAACGGGTATGGAAGAAGAAGACGGTTTATCATATACGAGATGGTCGTGTGTAAAACCGAAACTAGAGAAAATGCCTCAGTGGATAGCGAGCAGGGGGGCAATATCAATAGAGCTGGAACTGTAGGGTATGGCAAAGGTGTCCTATGGCAATGAAACATAGTAGTATGTTTCCTCCTTCGGAACGTTTCTATTCCTATCCGGATAGCTAGGGAGCGGGAAATTCCTAGAGCCCTTAGAATATCTTTGAGGAAACTTGTCTACCCCCCTTACGGGATCGAATACTTTACTTAATACATTGACAGGCTTGCCTGCTTGACGACCTACATAATTAATACACTCCAAACCAACCTAGGACCCCCGACCTCATGTAAGCTACTTAATACAAAGCACTCCTAGTCGAATTAATCTCTATACAGCCGTGTAAACCCATCCGCCGGCGGCTGAAGCCAATTCCGCTCATCGTACTTCGTCCCCTCACCCTCAATAACATGAAACGTATAGATGATGCGCCCCTTCTGACTCAAGTTCTTCTCACTCTTATGAAGTAAATTGCCATGTATCAACACCAGTGAGCCGGCCTTGACCTCGCCCATCTTATACTCACCATCCTCGTTCTGCCCATCCTTCTCCCCATACTTCCCCCCAGGCGGAAACTTCGGCCTATCATTATCCGCAAACTCGGTGCCTCCACCCTGAGCGCGCACGAATCGTTGTCGAATAGGCGCCCATCGGTGACTCCCCGGGAGGAAACTCAGACACCCGTTCTCTGCCGTCGCATCCTCGAGCGCATACCAGAACCCCACGGCGCTCGGCGGCTCCGTGTACAGGAACGTGCTGTCCTGGTGCGGCGGCACCGCGCCCCCGATCTCCGGCTGCTTGCAGATGACCATGCTCTGGAGACACCTCGGATCCCTGAACCCGAGCGCGCGCGCAACCGCCGCAGGATGGCTCTCCTTACGGCCCGCTTCCACGCTACCCCCACTAGTCCCCGCGCCCAGTAAATCCGGATTCAGCGCCGGATCCAGGAGCGCGGCAAACGGTGGTGAGAGAGCATGCAAAGCGTGCCCTATCTTGTTTATGGCGCGCGCTTTGGGCTTGGTTAAGTTGCCCTTGGTGTCGAAGGCGTCCTCCTCGAAGAAGAAGCGCACTTTGTCGCCGGACGTTAGGAAGTACTCGTCGCCGACGTGGGCGGACTTCTCGCCGGTGCTGAACCGTGTTAGGGGGTGTGATGATAGTGGGAAGTCCTCTAAGAGCTTGTGCGTTTCGGCGAGGAGGGCTTGCACGGTGGTGGGGGGGAGGGCGTCGGGGATGATGAGGTACCCGTCGCGCTGGAAGGTGGCGAGTTGGTCGGGGGTTAGGCCACCGTTTGAGGCGGTAGTTTCCGAAGGCATTATGTGAGGTTTTGAGGGTCTGCGAATTGCTGGGGTAAAGATGGGATTATGTGGGATAGGCAGGGAGCTGCATGTACATAAACCGGCTGGTTGGAACGTTTGAACCTTATGTAGAACTTATGATGTCGGCATGCGATAGTGGGGTCACGGAGCTTAGCTACGGAGCTTTTATCGATATGGTCCCGAGATGAGGGGTCGCATTTAGTGTGTGTAACAATATGTTAGATACAGTATATCATACGGTACCAACATTAGGATTCACCCCTTTTAAGTTTCTACATGTACTTAAGGTTAGGTATAAGTAGCAACTTTAGCCGACTTAGACAGGTACGAGTTGCATAGCTTCCTACCTAAACCAGCTACTCCTTATTCTATTTTAGACAATCTATTCTAGACAATCTATTTTTTCTATCATTAACACTTCTTTACCATGAGTTCGGAACAAGAGGTCCTATCCGGACCGCCAGCCCTTGGGCTCCTAGATGATCGGATTTGGGTCGACGGATGCTGGGATTTCTTCCACCACGGCCACGCAGGCGCTATGCTACAGGCGCGCCAACTCGGCACGGAGCTGTACGTCGGTGTGCATTCCGACGAGGCCATCCTGGAAAATAAAGGCCCGACGGTAATGAATCTTCGAGAACGGTACGGATAGCTCTTCCCGGATCGTACTTTCAAGAGCATTCTGCTGATCTCTGGAGTTACATGAAAAAGGCTCGCCGCAGTGGATGCTTGTCGCTGGGTTACCCGGTCCGTCGCATACGCACCGTATGTTACGCAGCTAGATTTCATAAGTCACTTCGGCTGCAAGTACGTGGTGCACGGCGACGATATCACGTCTGATAGCAGTGGTGAGGACTGCTACCGCTTCGTTAAGGCGGCGGGTCGATTCAAGGTCGTTAAGCGCACCCCCAGCATATCAACCACCGATCTCGTCGGTCGTATGTTGTTGTGCACCAGGACACACTTCATCAAGTCCCTAGAGAGGGTTCTCAACGGCCAAGAGGGTAGCGGCACCGAAGCTGAGAGGAAGTCAGAAGGAGACGCCATGTTAAATCGAATCCGCCAGTACGCCACCGACGAGTCTGGAAATAATCCCGGCGCGGATGTGTATTTCTGGTCAGCCTCCACCGCCGCGAAGACGGAGATTACGGATGAGAAGGGCTCGTTCCGCCCGCTACTGAAGGGACATGGTCCGAAACCTGGCCAGAGAGTCGTTTACGTCGACGGGGGATTCGATCTATTTTCTAGTGGACATATCGAGTTTCTGCACCAAGTCGTTCTCACCGAAGAGAAGCTAGCGAGAAAGGAGGGCTGGTATGATCAGCAAGCTGTCGACGAACGCCGAGGCAAGGGCGCTGATTACGGGCCTGTATTCGTTGTTGCTGGGGTTCATGATGATGAGGTTATTAACTACTGGAAGGGGGTCAACTATCCGATTATGAATATTTACGAGCGCGGTCTATGCGTGCTTCAATGTCGGGTACGTAACCTCCTTTTCCGCAATAGCTTTCTCCCTTTTTATTTTATTTCAATAATATGTTGCTAATTATCAGTAGTACGTCAACGCCGTCATCTTCGGCGCCCCCTTCTCGCCAACCAAATCGTATCTCACGAGCTCTCCGTGGGGCACCCCTGACGCTGTGTACCACGGACCAACATCGTTCATGCCGCTCTCGTACGACCCGTATGCTGTGCCGAAGGAAATGGGCATCTTCCAGGAGGTTCAGAGCCATGAGTTCCAGGACGTAAACGCGGGTACCATCGTGCAGCGTATCATGAAGAGCAGAGATCTCTACGAGGAGCGGCAGCGGAAGAAGGGTGTGAAGGCTGTAGGTGAGGCTGCGCACCGACAGAGGGAGATACTAGAGGAAGAGCAGCGGCATAAAGAGGAGAAGTTGGCTTCTACTGCGTAAGTTTGCAGTGGAATGCTGGTTGATTTCATTGCATGCGACAGATAAGAGGTCGATAGGAAAACTTGTTTTACATCGTACCTTAATGATGGTTTGAGTAACCCTGACTGGAATAGAGCCATAGGATCGTTTTAGTTATATTATAAGAGAAAGAGAGCGGATGGATCGCCTCCATTTATCTTTACTTAATAAGTTCTCCCGCGTTCGTCAACCCCGATCTTTACATATGAAATGTTGCAATTGTGAATATCGAGATAGTATTTACTCGATAACATGATTCTAGGTTAGTGTTCTCTTTTCTTAAACTATTTGTCTTGTTTCTATCGCCCTGTTCACCGGTTATACGGTAAGTTTATGGGTAAGAGATACTCAATCTTAGCTACCGGACCATCTCCTGGTTGCATACAATACAGTAAAACCATCATCACATCTAGTATATAGTAGAACACAGAATTAGTCTAGACAGCTTGGACTCCACATTTACCTTCTCCTAAACCACAAGTACGCGTGACGATTCACTACAGGTAAAGCAGCGTGTATCACAAGGGTCAGACATGGCTGGATAAGCTCGAAGCTTGCGGCTCCGTAACGTGCAGGAAAGGCACCTTTCTCCTGCATATACACATGTGGTTTCTTAAGGCATCAATGACAATAATCATAATTGATGAGCGCAGTTAAAGCGACAGAAATGTGATAGAAGGCTGACGTGAGGCTTATAAGAAGCGAAATCTTAGGTGAGACGGTAACGCAAGAATGCAAGTAATCATAGGATTCTAATTTTGGTCTACTTATCCGTCCATCTAGTTCTGCTGCTACCCATGTACCATATCTTATTATGCCTACATATAGGCCTCCAAGTGTAGACATAGTTAGTCATATGTAGCTTGCTAGCTGAGCTGTTGAGGTGGTGGAAATAACTCGGTTACTTCAATATTGTGCTGACGAACCAACTATCGCAACTTCGAGGCTACGAATGAACTTATTTTTCTCGGTCGTATTGAATGCATAGAGCCCAAGAAGTTCAGAAAGAAAAGGAGAATAAGCGGTGAGATTATCATGTCAAGCCGTTACTAAAAAACGAATAGACTTATATAAAAAGAAATCAATACTACGTGTACCTACATGCATGTACGTATGCATCGGCGATAGGTAGGTACATCATTGTTTGAGTCAACGATGTAAGAATAAGCACCTTGTCTGCTGCTTGTCAAGTCTGTCAAGTCTGTCAAGGGCTTGCCGCCTTTTTACGGCTGGGGAGCTTGGACCAATTGGACTGGGATATAACCAAAACCCCTTCCGCTTGGAGACCAACAGGTTTCACAAGCACCTCATTGTCTGTGTTACACGCCTTTCAGACATGATAGGGGCCAAGTATCAGCTTGATTTTTTTCTTCTTCTTGATCAGGTAGGAATATGTATGTGCAATAAATTTGGGATCGTTTCGGGTTTTAAGGCTTGAGTGCCTTACGTCTTGTCAAATTCTATTGCATCATTCAGCATCCGGCTGTAATAAAAATTAAAGTTAAAGCGATGTACCGCTCAATATAGGTACGATAGGCACTAGAAAGCTGCATTTCAGCAGGTACCTTTAGTTGTAGGACACGGACGTCTTAGCGGTCTGTGCGCCCTTCTAGAAGGCGCGAAGAAGGCAACGAACGCAAAGAAGTTCCGAGGAAAAAGGAGCTGGGGCCTTCTTAGGGTCTTTTTACTGCGCTTTTAACTGGGGAATGGCATCTTAAACAAGACCCACTCCCCCAAATTCCCAAGGGCTAAGGAACCAAGAGCCGTTCGTGATGGTCTTCTTTTCAAGACCCAAGCAACTTAGCATCACTCGTCCCCCTCAATCGTCACTCTTTTGCCACAGACAACCTGACAACACCTCCGATAAGAACAGGATCTATACTAATTCTATTCTACATGCTATACACACTCGTCTAGTTACAGAATTAATATTCATACACTTTTTACGGTGGTATATTCAGAGTAAAAGGGGATTTGATTGATTCGACCTTATTCCTACCCCTCCTCATTTCCCTTATCCCGTATTCCTCCTATACAACATCCCACCCGGACGGACATCTTGGAGAGCTGTAGCTGGGCTTGCTACTTTGATAAGGACAAGTCTTACGCAGTACTATCTGCAGTACTGTCAACCTAAAAAGAGTCACGAGCAAAGTCAGCTGTGTCGGGCTGTGTCGACTGCGTACCTCACAATAGTAAGTAAAGTAGTTGTACCTGCATCTTTATCTCCATATCCATATCTGCCCCCTTATCCATTCATCTATAGCTATTCTTCTGTACCTTTTGCTTGTTCAGATTACCCTGGTTCATTCAGCTGCTGTCCTCCCAATTTTCCTAATCTTCTACGTATATACCTACCTTTTCGAGTTTATCTTCCTTTCCCACCCTATCATTCACCATTGAAATTACCATTGCCCTGCTTACGCAGCGCCCACCATACTTCTATTCGTGTCCTCGCCAGATTTTAAGAGCATAGCCTCATCTTGTGTAGTACCTACTACCTCCTACCTACAGCTCTCCCCCTTAGCGCCTTATCATTTCCCGGTTTTCCTCTGATGAGCAAACTGTCGGCTAATCCGAGCTGGATAGGTATGCTAGCAACTTGAATTTCTAAGAACCACCAAGACCAATAGTCAGCATCACGTATATCGCACCCATATCTTCTGAGGTTACTCCCTAGGTAATACTGCAATCAATATTTTCTTTCACTCACTAGCCTGAACGTTCCTTATTCAGAAAGCATCTACTTATGCTCCCGACTATATACCTGAGCTATTGAGTCCTCGAGGCTTTCATTGATTACCTTAGTTTTGCCTCTGCTACCTTATGCGCCATGTCTCTACCTGTTGCTTACCAAAATGAGATAGAAATTCTTGAAAGTCAAGTCCGGCTGAAGAACCCACCCGATATCCTACAATTTTGCTCCGACTATTTTCTTCGTCGTCTCGCGGACGAACGTGCTACCTATCTTAAAACCCGAGGCTCTTCATCACTCTATAAAACCAACGCCATGTCGGGAACAGCATTTACGAGCCCTTTTGCGGCAAACTCTAACCCTTTCAATAACGATGGGTCTAAATCCGAGTCCGGCAGAAGCACACCACCAGGTTTATTAAACGTGGTTGAGGAAGACGAGAACGACACCATCACTTCACCCACAACCCCGTCATTAAGGCCTAGTACATTCGTGTCTACTATACCTAGCGCTTCTTTCCGCGGCCCCTTTGGTGGCTCCTTGGACGGCTCGCTAGATGGTCCTCCATCCGCGTTCAGAACGCCACCAAATCCTGATAGTTACCCAGCCCAATACAACTTTGGCCGTCGCACTTCGGTTTCCGCCGAATCGCTGAAGCCAGTGGCGGATGTTAATGATAACTGGACACCTCCATCATACCCTAAAACCGCCGAACAGCTAGAGAGGTTGAAGAAGGCCATCGAAGGCAACTTCCTATTTAGTCACCTGGATGACGAGCAAAATGATCAGATCTTGGGCGCTCTACAAGAAAAGCCAATTCCGGCTAAGGATATCAAAGTATGCATCCCCCCCTTTCAGTGCCCATGTTAGAGACTAACGTTAGTATAGGTTATTACCCAAGGTGATGCGGGTGACTACTTTTATATCGTCGAAAGGGGCTCTTTTGACGTATACGTCAACGACGCGGGCTCACTCCAACCTGGCCCCGATGGTATGGGCAACCGAGTAGGAACCATACAGCCCGGGGGCTCTTTTGGTGAGCTGGCCTTGATGTACAATGCGCCGAGAGCCGCTACTGTTACTTCTGCCGAGCCTGGCTGCACATTATGGGCGCTTGATCGCGTCACATTCCGTCGGATTCTTATGGAGTCTACATTTGCGCGTAGAAGATTATACGAAAGCTTCCTAGAGGAGGTACCGCTCTTATCTTCTCTCACGCCCTACGAAAGGTCGAAAATCGCCGACGCACTAGAGACCAAGAAGTTTCCCAAGGGCTACAAGATCATCAGGCAAGGGGATATCGGTACCTCATTTTTCCTCCTAGAGGAAGGTGAGGCAGACGCTTTCAAGGACGGGGGATCGGTGTCGGTGAAGCATTACAAGAAGGGTGATTTCTTCGGTGAGCTTGCGCTCTTGGACGATAAGCCCCGTGCTGCGGACGTCATCAGTGCTACTGAGGTGAAGGTTGCGACTCTGGGGAAAAGCGCGTTCCAGAGATTACTTGGACCTGTCGAGGGTATCATGAGGAGAACCAAGTACGTAGGTGTTAAGTCAGGGGTTGAAGACGTTGACCCCCTATACGCGACAATTTAATTGACTGCGAATTTCCAATGTATAGGCAGTGAGGATTAGACATGACACTCTAGGGAAGGGGGGTAGTTTAGACGACGGATGGCAGCATTCATTTTTGGAGGAGGCGTTCTCGGAATTACCCTCGTTTCCCGTATTAAATAGGACTTGTGATAGCTATTGATACCGCAGCAGGGGCATTTTACCTATTTGAACAGGTTCCATACAAGACCTAAGCTGGTATCGTAATTCTGTTAACTATGATTTGGCACCATGTTTCCTCTAATTTCAACCGCAACGCCGTCTCCCGGCCCGCATACCCAGGACCATTTCCTCGTCTTCTTTTCTTCCATATAATACTCAATCTAGCAATAATTTCACGCGCTACCTCTTTGCCTTTCTAAAACCTGCTGTCTCAATCCTTCGGTAGCAATCTCGGTCTCGAGCACCTTACCGACACCTCGTCTCCAAGCCTCGTCGAGCCCCTTCAGCTCGCCGCCAACCTCATCCTGGACGCGCTTCCGCTGAATATTAACGACGTCGATCTCCTTCTTGGCAGCGTCGAGATCTCGCTCTAGGTCCCGCAGCTCGGCTTCTAACTGCCAGTTTCCGACTAGCCAGGCATTCTTGCCGAAGCTGTCGAGGAGCTGTAGATGTGTGTGTCGGCCGGATAGGTATGTAGCTGCGGTGTAGGCGCGCGAGAGCTCTGTTTGTAGGTGTGAAGGGTCGGAGGATGTGGAGGAGAGGTCAATGTCGCTGGCTTCGTACCGGGTTAGGTCGATTGCGCGTAGGGGTTGCTTGGAGGCGATGCGTGTGAGTTCGCCGGTTATGGCGGGGGTGAATTTGGGGGAGGGGAGGGGAGGAAGGTTGGAGGGAGATGGAGAGTCGGAGGATTGCTGTTCTTGGGCGATTAGGGATTCAGCGGCTGCGCGTTCGGCGGGCGTGGGTTCGGGGTCGACGTCTAGTTGGTGATGTTAGTTTGGATGCATATCAAGGTAGGTAAGTAGGTATTGGGTGATAGCTAACTGTATAAGGGGAACTGGGAAGCTTACAAGGAAGAGACTCGTGGACCGTAGTGCGGATTGAGGAGGACATGGTGGATAAGTTGAGCTCTTGGATGGAGTGACTAATGAGCTAACGTCTGGGTGTCAATTATGTCTGTCTATCTGGTCTGTCGCTAATTGAACACCGTGAATAAGACGTAAGAGAACGCGATCGCGAACGGGAACTTTGATATCGTTATCGTTATCGAAGCGTACAGGTGTCAGCAGCTGTTCTGCGTTTAGCGCAGCGGGAACCGGCAGAGGCGAAAACGTCGCAATAGGGTCCCCGAATTGTCTAGGGTGGGGTTTCGCAGGCAGGGGTTGAGCTGCTAATGACGTATACTTGCCGTATGTACCTAGAACCTAGGCAGGCAGGCAGATGCGCCTTCGCGATGGGTTTCAAAGAAGACATCATTTAACTCGGATTAGGTTTGTACGGCCTTTTATCTTAGTTGAGTCGCTACGTGTTTGTTAACCTCGAATGATATACTATTACGTCGAGGTATTCAGCACAATACCCTTGGGAATGGTCCCGTTATAGCACTTAGTTATATCCACACAACCGTCACCCCAGCTCCTCCGATTGCTGTGTTGAATGACTCGCTCGCTGGTCCTTGGGCAGCCCATCCCGACTAGAAAAACTGGGTATTGCTCATCGTATCCCAATAATTAGCTCCCAGTCGTTTGAGGCCGTGTTATATAGTAGAATAAGAGAGCCAATATGCCACGGGGCCAAGAAAGCGAGAAAGATGGGGATAACTCCCCCTTACTCTCGGGATTGCGACAAGATCACGATAGCGATGCTCGAAATAGTCTAATACCTAGATTACTTCTAATATTCCTACCGTTTGCGATATTATTTTCAATCGCGTGTCTCCCGCCGCAACGCCTAACGCAGAGTCTCAAGGTATGGCCGTCTTACTCAGGGGAGAGCTGGAAGGGAGAGTCGTATGGTAGAGACGATGAATATCTTATTGGAGTTGGAAAGGCTGATATTACTGGGTGAGCACTTATATAACTAGGAACTTAATGCTAGCGATATGCTTATACTTCGTGGATGCTAGTCCTTGCGTCGAGATCAACTTAATGGGATATGCCGACCCGCATCAAATCGGAACCGGTTTACGACAACGACTCCATTCGCGAGCATTTATCGTAGCCGACCCTACCAATCCATCCGATAGATTCGTATACCTTGTCCTCGACACGCAGTCCGGTGATACGGCCGTTCGATACGGTATCTTGTCGGGATTGCAGGAACTTGGGCCTGAATATGATAACTACGGGCATCACAATCTGGCTGTGACAGGCACCCATTCGCATTCAGGCCCTGGTGCTTGGCTCAACTACCTGTTACCTCAGATCACGAGCAAGGGCTTTGACCAGCAGAGTTATCGGGCTATAGTCGATGGCGCTCTCCTATCCATTCGTCGTGCGCACGAAAGTCTTACACCGGGACATCTCAGTGTTGGATCTACTAAAGTATTCGGGGCCAATATCAACAGGAGCCTTTTCGCATATCTCGCAAATCCAGAAGAAGAACGTGCAAGATATAATATCAGTTCCGAAGATGATGGATCCGTAGAGAAGGACCTTACTATGCTCAAATTCCAACGAGCTTCGGATGGCAAAAATATTGGCGTGCTTACTTGGTTCCCTACGCATGGGACCTCAGTGCTTGGAAACAACACTTTGATATCAGGTGATAACAAAGGAGTGGCGGCATATTTGTTTGAGAAGAGCGTTGCGGGTGATGAAACTGCAGCAGATGGTTTCGTTGCTGGCTTCTCACAAGCAAATGTTGGTGATACCAGTCCCAATGTTCTTGGAGCGTGGTGTGAAGACGGTTCAGGACGAAGGTGCAGCTTTGAGAATAGCACTTGCAGCGATGGTCGATCTCAGCATTGCCATGCTCGAGGTCCTTTTTTTACGGTTGATGATGAAGGGACATCTTCATGCTTTGAGATTGGCAAACGCCAATACGAACCTGCGAAGAAGCTCTACGATCAACTCAACCAAGAACCGAATCCAGTACGTGGGAGCTGGGTAAAGTCCTTCCACACATTTCACAATATGTCTAATCATCAGTTTCAACTGCCCAACGGAACAGAAGTAAAGACATGTCCTGCGGCATTGGGTTACTCCTTTGCAGCTGGTACCTCTGATGGACCTGGTGCTTTCGACTTCACTCAACATAGCAACAATGCTTCGAATACCTCTCCGGTATGGCGTGTTGTAGGCGGCATGCTCAAGAATCCAACGGAGGATCAAATCGCATGTCACGCCCCAAAGCCCATCTTACTAGATGTCGGTGAGGTGTCTAGCCCATATCAATGGACTCCAAATGTTGTTGATGTACAAGTCTTCCGTGTTGGTCAGTTGGTTATCATTGTCAGTCCAGGTGAAGCAACAACCATGGCTGGAAGACGCTGGAAAAACGCGGTTGGTAACGAGGCCACAGCGCTGTTTGCAGATGAGGGTCAATCGGCTTCCCCTATCGTTGTTCTCGGTGGACCTGCAAATAGCTACACACATTATATCACTACGGAAGAAGAATACGGGTAAGTATAATTCTTGTCTCTTTGCATGCAGCTATTCATTACACATGTTTCTTAGTTTTCCGTATTGGTGGTCGTTTACACTACTACAATCATGATACCTACGTGGAGATTGATTCATCGTCGTTCTTATCACACATCATCAAGACTTATCCTTATAGATCTCCCCAGTTTAACTTCAGTGCGATGCATGGCATTTCATGCAAGATTCAGTAAGGCTTACGATCAAAAACAGGATTCAGCGATACGAAGGTGCGAGCACACTGTACGGGCCGCACACCTTGGCGGCCTACATCAACGTCACTCTGTCCTGGATACCGTCCCTGAGTTCGTCGGCTAACAGCCGGCCACCTAGAGGACCAGAACCACCAGATAACAGTAATCGTAGTCTTAGCTTCATCCCTCATGTCATTCACGATTCCCCGCCTCTCTTTAGAAGTTTCGGCGATATTAAGCAAGATGTAGAAGAGAAATACCAAAAAGGCGTACGAGTCGCTACAAAATTCGTCGGTGCCAACCCAAGGAACGATCTCCGCCTCGAGCAGAATTATGCCGTCGTTGAGAAGCTCATCGATGGAGTATGGAAGGTGGTCCGTGACGACAGCGACTGGTACCTGGTGTTCCGGTGGCGCCGCACCAGCGAGCTACTAGGTACCAGCGAGGTTGAAATAACCTGGGAGACGGCGGACCCGTGGGCGGAGCCGGGACGCTATCGGATCCGGTATTTTGGCGACGCCAAGAGCTTGGCGGGGCAGATCACGGAGTTCGAGGGTGTAAGTGGTGAGTTCGAACTCGTCGATGATCAATGATCGATGATCGATGATCGCCCGATCGAGAACCTGTGGGGCGGTCCAATGAGTGGTTCCGCCCAATGCTCCGGGTCGTGTCGCTTTGTTTGTTTGTTTATGCTATTTTATTTGTACATATCATATCTTACAGCGGGGACTCCATGCATACCTAGGTATGTACCTACCTAAGGTAGGTACAAAATAGAATGAATGTACTACCATAAAGCTCGGGGTGTTACAATGGTGATGCGTGGTGCCGTCAGCGGCGCGTTAGGCTTTCTTGGGACACGAGGAAAGGAAACTTGATACAATGTAATGCAGGTCTGTCTTGTCGGATAAATCAGGTGGGATAAATAGGAGGTAGATAGATGTTATCGCAATACCTACAAATATCGGGAATACTTGGAGAGCGGAAAAGGGGGAACTCCCTGTTCCTTGGATCTGGAGAACTAGACGGTTTAGCGGTTATTAGCGCAGGGGTAAATTGGAGATTGTTCTATGTATGTATGTGATGGTTGATCTGATTTGCGACGGTTTTCTCGATGGATGTGAAAGAATGGCATAACCTTGGCTTAGTGATGATGATGTGTTTGTTCGGCACGTTAGATTCGATAATGAGATGCGATATAATCCGTTCATGCATGATTTTAATGTTGTACCTTGCCAACCCCACGGGAATATCATCTCGTATTCTGCTGGGTTTATCTTACCCCTTTCCTTCTTGGCCGCTATGTACATATGTATGTACCATAGTCAATATCCACACTCCCTTACGTCGTTCGTACCTGATCTACAACATTACGCTAAGTCGTTGTCTAATCACTACATGTTCGGGAAGTGTTCTAGACCAAGAACTGGAGATTTACGAACCTTTTTACCATTCCAAAGCTGAGACCTCTAAGCTATGAAGAGAGATTCAGCTAGGCGATTTCTCTACGTCTTGTATATCGTGTAATCAATCCTATGAAGATGCCAATGAGTTTACATATGTAGTCAATGCAAGACAAAATTCAACAAGAGACCTTATATTGTGGAAAAAATATGTAGCCCGGGTTCCTAACACCGTCGCTTTGAAGATATGAATATGCACTGTATATGCTCGTCCATGCATGCTTTGCTTGGGAAAATGCTCAGTGGTGAAACCGTTCGCAGTATTCCCGGTGTCCTGCTTACCCTTATCTCCATTTCACTTCCATCCTTCCGACGGAACGATTGGAATGCGTAGACCTCAAACGTGTTGCCCCTTGAAACGAGTGACGCGGAAAATTCGTCGTTTCTTGTTTCCCGCGTCCTCTACTTCGTCTCGTCCCAGCACGTCTAACATATACGCGCGTAGCTTAGACCGCTTCCATACCTTGGGAGCGAATGTTTGGGTATAATAACGTATGAACAGAACAGGAGGACGTAGTCAGGTAGCTACGCACTTCTGAACAGGTGAAGATAATATATGCGTGAGAGAGGAGCGACGGTTGCGAAGCGGGAGGACAGGGGAGGCATAGGCCAGGAATTAATATAGTGAGAAATAGTTAGATTTTATGTCCCGTCTCTCCGCCTCTTTATAAAATATCGGAAGTGTACCGGGATATGAGGCGGCAACGAAAAATTAAATAAATCTCCTTTTTATACCGCATGCTTTGGCTACGGCAGTGCTAGCAGTGCAAAGTGGCCACCGGCCACAGGGCGCGCCGTGAACTGTAGGCCGCCGGGGTAATCGCCGGTAGCAGCATCGTAAAGATCAGTGAGTGGCTTGTTAGTAGGCGTGATATCAATCCAACCAGCGATGAGGCGGATGAAGGTATCGCGGGTCTCTTCACTAGAGGTAGCTGCAGCCCACAACATCCAGTCCGTCTTTGTGTACGTGTGGCGCGTGTCGAGCGGTACACCGTACTCGAGCGCTACCGTCGGGTAGAAGTCTGATTGTATGTCATACACAGACTTCGGCACAAAATCTCCAAATCCCAGCAGTGAGTTGGCGTACAAGTTGTAGAGTAACCCGTGGGAATCGTCGTCTCCATAGCTTAGTGTCGCGTGCGGCGGGTCCGCTGCCGTGTTCACTCCAAATCCCTGCCACTGCTCAATGTACGACTTCGCTGTGTCGCCGAACGACTTGGCGTCGTCATCGTTGCCCGTACGTTCGGAAATCTCGGCCATAGCCTTCAGACCGATAATTCCCTTGAGTCCCAGGTTCGTCTGGTTAGCTAGAGAACCTGCGAAGTCATCTGTTGAAATTTGGTCCGCGGGGATCAAGGCCTCGTCTACGAGGTAGCCCGCCCATTGCTTCAGAATGGGGTAGTGCTGGGCAAGGTAAGCATTGTCATCGGTGCGTTGCGCATACGCGAGCACCATGATGATCATGTTACCGCACTCTTCTAGCGGCATGAGCTCATCGTCACCATTAGGATAGCCCTTAGCGACGGGGAAAGTACCGAGGTCGTGGATAGCGTTGGTGTTGGGGTAGTGGCCGCTCTCCTGGTTGAGGAACAACGGCTTGAGCATGTAGTCGAGGAGAGAGGGGTTCGTGTATAGGATCAGCGGAATGGCGGGGAAGATGACGTCTACGGTTTGAATGTCACTGTTTGAGCTGATCTCCTTGAGGAACACTAGAGGGTCCGAGTCGGTTCCTGTAAATTGTAGGGCACCGAACGTCTGTCTGACACTAAGGCTCGTCAAGGTCAAGTAGTTCTGGCCTGCAGCAGCTAGCGAGTCCGAGGCCACCTTGTTATCTAAGTCCGTAGATAGCTCCGAAACCTCGTCGTAGTCGTTGTAGAAAAAGGTCACCTGCAACTGTTAGACTGGATAATTACATTTTACATCATTAGTAAAACTAACAGCGTCAACAGCCGAGTCAAAATAGCTCTGCCATAATGCAGGATAAGTGGTGAGGTCACTGCCTTCGCCTAGGAGGTTGATTGCGCCGTCCTGTGTCATACCAAGCGTATACAAGGTTGAAACGGTAGACGACCCGACGGAACCAAGGTCGCTAGAGAAACCGAAGACCGGCCTACAGAAAGAATTAGTATCCGAGCGAAGCAGGAAAACAATAGTTGGAGACCCCATCGTGACGTACCAGTTATCTTGTACAGCTCGGAAGTTGGTGTCTTTGGTATTGGGAAGAACACCTTCGTTGAGGAAAGCGCCTCTCACGTCAGTGTCGGCACCGATTTGCCACGAGAGCTATGAGATTATATCAGTCCTGCTCAGCTTTGGGCTATTTGAGTGGGCTTCTCTTCACTCACGTTATCCGCATCTTTGGTGGACCAGAACCAGGTGCCCCAGTTTGCTTGCTGGTTAGTCTCAGAAATCGCCGCCTGGTTCTGACGCTCGAACTGATGGTATGCAACTCCATCGGCAGATTGGTAGTCCCACTCGATAATGGCATTAAGGTCACCAGAAGCCCATTCTATGAGGATTGGTGAGTAAATATGTCAGTCACAAAAATAGGATTGCCTAACTTACCAGCTGAGACGTCAGCGTACAACTGAACATCATGGCTGGCGCCGTCCAGAGAGTGAACACCAACATCGAGGTAAGAGAATACTAGAGATTGTCGTTTCAGATCAGAGGGCGTTACGGGCGACAAGAACGTGATATTCATCTCAACCTTGCCGCCTACGTTCATCACAAACGTGCTTCGTGTCGACGTGTAAGAGAACTCAGTTTGATCTACCACATCCGCGCCAGGCGGTGCGCCTAGCCAGTTGTACGCCTTTCCATCTACACGGATAAATCCCGCCCAGCCAGTAATCTGTTGACTGCGTAAGAGTTAGCTTGTGAAAGAAAGCAAAATTCACGGGAAGGAGAAGCATACCTCCAAAACTTTGGCCATTCACCAGCAAGATAACCTCCGTTCCCACCGTCGCTACCGACATTTAACCACGAGTTGAGGTATGGCGACTTAACAGCCAGAGGAATTGCAGGAGGCCTTGCAGGACTAAAGCTTGACGCGGCATCAGCTAAGCTACCGAGGAGGGCCACCCCGACCAGCACGCTTCTAAGTCCCATCACGGATGTTGAAGTATAATGAGTAGACAACCCAAGGGATGAAAACCTGGAAAACCTGAAAAGGTTTGGATGGGGAGTTGTAAGGGATGATGGGCAAGGTCCGATATTTCGGAAACCTAAGGAGAGAGCAGTCGAACCTGTTAAGGTATGTCGATGTGATAAACTTAGAAGCGGCAAGACAAAACCTGTGCTCGAAGTTGGGACGAAGGTTGATATTTGAATAAGATTCCGAATCACTAATCTCCGTACGAGATATGCAGGCCAATCTAGGATCTGGAGGCGTCCAAGCTAGCAGGATCAGATGGGTGGACGAATAAGGAAGGTTTCGCAGATGTGTGGAAGTACAATGCGGACAGGGGACTGGGGGGGACCTTAAGCAAAGGCTAGGGATAGAGAGAAAAGAAAGTAGTCATGAGACTGAGTATATGCTACCATGCATGATCAGGTCACCACCTAGGCTGGGGCGTATTCCAGCTCTATTCAGTCTTGGCCTACCTCATATACAGCTACATAGTTATGGTATATCTCTCAACGAAGCCGGTTATCATTCTCCAAGATGTGCTCGAGGAGCTCTGTGAAGCTGTGGTGCTTCGGGCCTTTGTGATGACATATTAGTCTATGGTAGCAATGGCAGCAATGGCATCAAGAGACTACTCGGCGGGTCACAAGCCAACGAGTCCAAGATTCAAAACAAAGGACAGCTAGGTAGTTAGCACGCGGTAACCAGGAACCAACTTTGTTGCAACTTTGTTGCAACTTTGTTGCAACTTTGTTGGAATTAAAGAGACCGCGTGCGAAATAAGGATCGTTAGCACCACCATAGACTTACAATACGTATAGACTTAGCTAAGAGCTCGGAGAGCTACGACGGATACCGGGCAATCCACCTTGGAATGGGGTTTAGGTAACTGTGGAGAGTGATATTTACCTGGTCGTTTACCTGGTCATTGAATAAGACCGGAATATGCCGGTAGGGCCATAGGTTTCACCCAGAAGAGGAAGGAGATCTGCGGCCCGTCAGAAAAATACTAGAGGAAGCGGGCACGTTGTTATGATCCAGTGACCTACACTATGTATTATTGAATCGGGGCGCTCAGCCGTCTAGAGCCGTTGATTTTCCGCCGCTGTCTCTGATCTTGACCTAAAGAATGATGGAACCGAGAGCCAGGCAAAGATTTTGTATTACTCGTAGATTCACCTGTAGATTCAATGTCGAACATTCTTACCTACGGGTTCAGGTACCGCAGCCAGCCGCTGCGAACCCGTACTTGCTTGTGTTTGAGAACGAAAACAACAATCTTAGGACGTGTTTATTTTCTCCGGCTGAATAAGACAAGCGCGTGTCACGCCGCCACGTCAAGCTACCACGCTGCCATAATGCAGGTCCGGAAAAGCTTATTAATGCTAGAGGAGCATATAAAGCTCTAGGGCTCTATTGGACCTTAGTAGATTTTGCTGCCCTTCGACACTATTGCCTATTCAAGACACAGCGCATAACGAATCGAGCAAAATTAATTTGATTGAAGGGATAGGCTGTTTCTAAAGTCAAAATTAATCTGCCATTTTGGGTCTATTCTTAGTCTACTTTGCCAAGGACATTATGCATACTACTGCTTGCTAGTACTCTGTGAGAGTCACAGCCCTGAAAATTTTTCTTTTCATGGCATGTCTGCATGTTCCCGGGGGAGTAAGCTCACATGTGTATATTGGCGTTGTGGCCGGCACTTTGACGAAGCTTGGGGGCCTCGGTAGCTTCGAGGCTTTAGATTCGGATCATTGGGCTGCGCCGCTTCGCAGTTGGTCCATGTAGAGACGGACGCAAAGTAGCTCCCGCTGTTCCCGGCTTCCAAGCTTTTCTAGGCGGCATTATGGCAGCCCCCGATTCTGGGGAATCAAGCTTGGCGCGGGGCAGTGCTAATTTCTCATCTGTATACCGTATTATCTTCCCCGTAATTGGCTTTAGAGATCTCGTGTCTTGCGTCTGCACGGTCTTCGCTGTCATTTGAGGCTTGGTAGTCCCTTACATGAATCTTGGTTGGCTAATCCGATGCTATTGTATTCCGCAGAAGGAAGGAGTCCAATAGTCGGTGTAGTTGTGTACCTAGGTTAGTTGTGTTAGGTAGTTGTGTTAGGTAGTTGTATGGTGGACGGTTAGGACATTTGTGCCAAAATGCCCGAGTTTACGAGGGATATGCCCAAGTTTACGAGGGATATTGTCAGACGATCTTTTTGCCTGGCCATTTTACGAGATAGGAAGTTCGTCCGTGCGCAGCTCTGGGGCGTTTTTATTGGGTGCATCCCCAAAAATGAGTGGAATTCTCACGTGTTTTTCTAGATCCCCACTTCCATCTTTTTCTCGAAATACGTATTTTTTTTTTTTGCCATAACTTACATGTATGTAACTAGCCACGGTTACCAATTACGTAGCCACGCATTATATATTTACTTAAGTAATCCAAGTTTTACAAAAGCCTGGGTTCGCATCTTATATGCTTTTTTTTTTTTTTTTCATTTTTAAAAGAATTTTAGCAAGGTTTAATATTCGAGGTTGTCCGCCGCTACTGCCGGGGAAAGGCGCTTGGCGCGCTTCGCGCGCCGAGCGCCTTTCCCCGGCAGCAGCGGCACGTGATCGACTTACGACCTTCGTAAACTCGGGCTATTGTGGCGCACCGCAGGGGTGCCCTCATGTCAAGAAAATAGGTCGGGGCTTTTTAAAAAAGGTAATATAATAAGTGTATAATATATTATACGGGGTATATATAAAGTAAAATATAAAAGATTAATTTAATTTTAATTATTTTATATATAATACATTTAAATAATTTTATAATAATAATAATTTAAATATTATAATTGGTATTATTTTATAATTTTAATTAATGTAAAAATAATAAATTAAATTACATGTTTATGCAATATATATTAAATATTATATTATTATTAAAATATTTAAAATTTATTTAAAATGATTTTATTAAAATGTTTTTAAAAAATATTACGTGTTTGTTTTTTTAAATAAACGTTATTTAATTTTATTATAATTTAATTTTATTATAATATAACAGTTAAAAACCCGATTTAAATGTAATTTAAATCATTGTTTTTACATTAATTAAAATTATAAAAAAATATTAATTATAACGTTTAAATTATTATTTTTAAAAAGTTATTTAAATGTATTATATATATAAAATAATTAAAAATTTAAATTAATAATAAAATTTTTTAATTTAATTAATTAATGTTAAAAATTAATAAATAAAATAACTTAAATAATAATTATATAATTATATATATATAATTATATAATTTTTTAATATTTTTACCAATATTAAATTAAATTATATGTAATTTAAATCATAAATTTCGTTATTTTTTAATTAAAATAATAATATTTTTTAAAAAATATTTAAATAAATATTCGTAAAATTATTATGGTATAAAGTTAAAAAAAAATATTGTAAAATATACTTTAGTACATTTTAACACGTAATTGCTCGTCACGTGTCATTTAAACATTTAAATTCATTTTAAATATTTGTAAAAAAAATAATAATATTTAATTTTAATAATTAATTTAATAAATCAATTTATTTAATAATTAAAAGTTTTATTTATTTAAAATTATTAAATAATTAATTTAATAAATTTAATTTAATTTATTATATATTATTAAGTTAATTTAAAAAATTTAAAGCATTATTTTAAAATAATATATTATAAATGTTATAATAAATATTAATACGGTAAAGTTTTTAAGTTTTAATTATTAAAAATATTAAAAAATAACTTTTAAAATAAAAATAATAAATGTTAATATTTGGTATAAAATTTGCTTTAAAAGTAACATTTTTATCGAAAATTATTAAAATTAATGGTTATTTAAACTTATTAAACTTATTTTAATAAATTATTTTAAATTAAAAAATGTTTAAAATAAAACAAATAAAATATAAACGGTATTAAATTTAATTTAAATTTAATAAAGTAATTTTACTTTAAACTTTAATATATATAAAAAAAATGTTAAAAATTATAATATTAAATAAAATGTCATTAAAAAAATCAAAAATTAAGTTTAATAAATCGTATTACTTTATTATTTTTAAATAACTTATTTTTTTACTTTATTTTTTATTAAATAATATATTTTATTAAAAAAACATATAAAAGTCATTAATGTTTAATTAAAAGTTTAAACATAAAAAAATTATAAAAAAACTACAGTTATTTTTTATAAATTATTTAAAAATTAAAATACGTGGATTTTTTAATAAAAAAAAACCATGGGAAAAACGAAAAGTAAAAATTTAATTATAATTAAATATAACGTTTGTTAAAATACCAGTCATGTGCCATGCCACGTGACTAGGGTTGTGCCAACACACACCGCCCACGCAAGGTTTACACGCATGTAAATAAATATTTTCCCCATTTGGTAAATCTTTTACTTTACTTAATTAACTTAAACCAATTAAACAATACAATTCAATTACCTTTTCTTTATTACGTAATACATACAAAACCTTGTCATTTTAACAACGTTAAATGGTTTAAAAATTTATTAATGGTATTTAAATACATTTTATCCGATTAAATTAATGTATTTTTTATTATTAATATTTAAATTATAAATAATAATATTTTATTATTTTAAATTATAACTTTATTATTAAAAATAAAGGTTTAAACTATAAATATTTATAAAAAAAAACCTAGTAAAAAATCATTTGGTTTTATTGAAAATGGAAAAAAAAAAGCAAAAAAATATTTTTAATAAAAATACTTTAAAAAAAAAAAAAAAAAAAAATAATTAAAATGGTTTTAATAAACGACTTAAAAAAAGTAAATTAAATGGAATAAAAAAATCGTATTAATTATACAAAATATACTTAAATGTTTATAAATTTAAAAAATATTAATACGTTTTTAAAAAAATAAAATTAAATTGGTTTAACTTAAAAAAAAATAAAAGTATATATACTTTTAAACAAAATTTAAAAACTAATTTAAATCTTTAAAAAAAGATTAATAAAATTAAAAAAAAATTTAAAAAAAAAGCCGATAAAAAATAACTTTTTTAAAGTTAATTAAAACGTTAAATTAACAAAATATTGTAAATTATAACCGTATTTACGATTAATATAATATTATAAACCACTTTTATAATTTTTTATTATTTTTTTATTTATTCCATAATTTTTAATTTTAATAATATTATTTATATTTTTAATAAATGTTTTTATTTTTTAAATTATAAAATAATATTTATAAAAAATATTATAATAATTAAAAATAATAAAATGTTTATTAAAAAGTATGGTAATATTAACATAAAAATAAAAAGATTAAAAAAAAATTATTTTTTTCGATTTTAAAATGTTATATATTATAAAAATTTTATATAT